TTATTCAGTGATATTGTTTTGTAATACAGGCAGTCCTCAAGTTATGACCATTGGTTCAGCAAGCATTCAAAGTGACAATGGTGCTGAAGGAAGGGACTTGGACTGTTTGATAAGACTTTTAGATAAGCAGCTTTGGATAATGAAGGAAAAGTTTTGGGAGGTGACTAACTCATTTAGAAAACTGATTAATTCAGTGCACAAACCTAGAAAATAGGTGAATTCAATCATCAAATTAAATGAGTTGTATATTAAATTCTTTGAAGGAAGAAAACCCAAAAAGGGATTTAGATCAAAACAAACTTGCAAAGAATTACACTTTCAATCTCCAAGTCTGGTCCTCAAAACCGTATGGATGAGATAGTCCAGATTGGGAATTTTGCTCAACATCTAACCTTAGCCTTAAAGCTTTTGTGCTTGCGTAATGGGGTCTACCTATTGACATGTGTCTTTAATACAGGACAGGTGTATATGTAGGTATTTAAGATGCAGATGAGAGAGGATAAAAGTCAATATACAACGTTTTAAAAAGCTCTAACAATCCTACCTGTTTGGGCTAAGCTGTTCTTGGTATCAGCAAGGCAAATAGAAGAACAAAGAATGGAGTTCTCTCTCTCTCTCATCTCTCTTTCTCTCTTATCTCTCTCTCTGTATCTCTCACTTTCCCTCTCTCTCTCTCATCTCTCTCTATCTCTCACTATCTCTCTCTCATCTCTCTCTCTCTCACCTCTCTCTCTGTATCTCTCACTTTCCCTCTCTCTCTCTCTGTATCTCTCACTTTCTCTTTCTCTCTCTTTCATCTCTCTCTGTATCTCTTACTTTCTCTCTCATCTCTCTCTCTCATCTCTCTCTGTATTTCTCTCTCTCTCTCTCTCATCTCTCTCTGTGTATCTCTCACTATCTCTCTCTCTCTAATCTCTCTCTCACCCCTTCCCTCTCTCTCCCTTCCTTCCTGCTAATTTCCCAGACTTTGTTGTCATGGAAAGGTCCCACTTTTTGGATGGATCAAACTGGAAGAGAAATGGCAATAATCCAACCAGAATATCTATTTCGGCTGAATTGAAAAGCCAACATGAGCCTTTGATTTTTCCTCTAGAATACAAAGTTTTTGTATCCAGCAAGTCATAGTCCTCTTACAGCTCTACCTTCAAAACAAGCCAAGCTGAAATATATCCCACAGGACCTTTCCTGGAAGGTTTCCACAAAATCATCTTATCTAAGGCAAGATTGCAGAGATGAAGGACTAAAATCCCCTAATTTCCTGGGATGCAGCAATGTTTTGGAAAGCTTCAGAATGCCTGAAGAAACCTGTTTTATGTATTATAGCAAAGATGGACACAGTGCCATTGATTAATTTGATGTGGCTTTGCACTGAGAAAAATGTAAGGGAGAAGGTGTAACCTACCAATCTTATTCAAAAGTTCTGGGGATGCAAAGAGCTTCTTTGTGCCTTTAAATATATTTACAGAAGAATCAGTGTAATGGCACCCGGAAATGAATGTGGCTGCCTTCAAGAATATGTCATAAAAGAACCTCGAAGCTGCTTTAGCTCCTCTACAGCAGGAATGCTAATAAACTGGCACCTAACACCCATTACTGGTGCAGCAGAATATTGGGGCCTAAATGTCAGCTAATTAAGTCAGGCAAAGGCCATGAAAGATCTCAAAAGTTAGAAGTTAAATATTAATATCCATTTCAAACTTCCTGAGGAAGAGGCTTTGTGGTAGAGAAACAGAGATGGGGATATAATGTTTTGATATTTTAGATAGCAATGTCTGTGCAAGAGGGAGAGCGAGAGAGATGAGGAATATATGTATCTTCCCCCCACCAGCACCCCCCCCCCAAAAAAAAAGACAGATAGCAAAGCAAAAGAGAAATGGTGCAGAAATTATGGGGGGAAGAGAACAAGTTTTCCTAGAATGCAGAGTTTTTTTTTAACACATTCCCATTTTATCAAAAGAAATCCAAGAATATAAAGAGCATCAGAAATGAATAAAAGTTTGCACATCCTTTACTTGGCATTTAATTTTTAATGTTCATTTTGTGTGTGTGTGTGTGTGTATTTGTGTGTGTGTGTGTGAGAGAGAGAGAGAGAGAAGGAAAAGAAGGAGGGAGGGTGGGAGGAAGGAAGGAGAGAGAAGAAAGAGAAAGAGAAAGAGAAAGAGAAAGGGAAAGAAAGAAAGAAAGAAAGAAAGAAAGAAAGAAGGGAGAGAAAGAAAAGAGGGAGAGAAAGAAAGAAAGAAAAAGAGGGAGAGAGAGAAAGAAAGAAGGAAGGAAAGAAAGAAAGAAGGAAAGAAAGAAAGAAAGAAAGAAAGAAAGAAAGAAAGAAAGAAAGAAAGAAAGAAAGAAAAGTTTCCACAGCACATGCTTTTGGCACTCATTGTGAATTTCATTTACTTGAAATTGCCATAACTTTCTCTCATTCTTGGTTGCTTTTCTGTCCTCAATGACTTCTGTAGAACACGTAACCAAATTTGTTTCCCGATTGTTCCTTTCACCAGACTTCCAATAATATTGTCATATATATGCACACCACATGATCTCTAATTGAGTGGGATTACACGTAAGAAGAAACAGCCTAGTGGGTAAAAATTGTGTCCCTGTAAAATAAGATACTAAGCAGGATTTTTTTTCCCAAGGTGGCTATTTGCATAGCCAAAGAAGTTTTTGAAGCAAAATTCTACCCTAGCAGCCTGGACTCCATAAAGCTGAATAGCATTAAACACAGCATTTCTTTCGTGGTAAATTATTTCAGGAGAGCTAACTCTGCTGTTAGGTAAACTGAAGCAGCTGTCACAGGCAACAAGTACAGAGGGTGAAAAGTAGAGGCAATCCAATAATCTCTTGGCTTGTCCCTCTTTCAGAGACTATATCCCAACCCATTCCCACACACGCATTCTTCTATTCTATATCACTATTCACTTCCAAGATGTCAGAAAGGATGTGGTTGGGCAATGCTTCTGGCCAAGTGTCCAAGAAGAGAAGGAACCACAGGACCTGCACGGCCATCAAATAAGCATTTAGGTGCCTACTGTCCATGCAGGTAGCACACCAGCTCTAAAACTATAGTCATGGTGCCATTGCTTAGCTAACCTTTTCCGGACCGAGTGCCCAAAGCACTCATGCATGCACGTAAATGCGTGGGTGCGCATCCCGAACCCCCAAAATGCAATGTGCGTGTGGGGGCCCCGCATGCATGCATGCCCCCCACATGTGCATGCATGTGCACACACATCCGCACCCCCACACTTGCCCGACCCTGCATGCATGCACAGCCTCCCTGCATGTATCCCACCCTCCGTACATGCGTGGTAGAGACCAAAGACCAGCTGGCTGGTGGGAGGCATGCGCAGATGTGCAGCAGAGCTGAACTGGGGCAATGGCTTGCATGCAGAGAGGGTGCTGTATGTCACCTCTGGCACATGTGCCAAAGGTTCACCATCACGGGTTTAGCTCTTTGGGGGACTCAAAGAGTTCAAATTAAGAGTAAAATTGAATAGTTAAATTACAGCCATCTGATAGACAAAGACTGTCTTCAGTCAAGTGAAATTCTTGCTTGGAAGGCACTTTCAAACTGGAATCACAAATGAGATGCTAAATTGTAATCATTACAATTAAAGGGAAAAGAAGACTTTTACACAGGTGAAAGGTATCAAATGGTAGATGAATAAGGCCAAGAGTGCCGAAGAACTACCTTAATTCACTGCTGATATCAAAGCCATACTTTAGATACCAATTTAGATGTGAATAAAGGACTATGAAACCCCTGCCTCCATGAAGATATCTGCTTCTGATTTGAGTCTTTCTTCTAAAACAGATTATTACTCCATGCTGATGGGGAAGGAATTCTGGGAGTTGAAGTCAACACATCTTTAAAGATGCCAAGGTTAAGAAACATTTCTGTAATATAAGAAAGGTTCTAATGTTCATCAAAAGATGCATGCAGCTTTCCTCCAAAGTTGGTCAAATTTTCCCATTTCCTTCTGAATTGGTCCTCCCAGCCTTCACACATAAAGAGTGTATTTGTGTGTGCACATGAATAAGAATTTTGGCTCCAAATCCAGGTGGTTTTGTCAATGACAATGATGTTCAAGTGATGTTCCAGTTGTTCCATGATTGCACCCAAGACATCTACCCTGTTTCCCTGAAAATAAGACCCAACCAGAAAATAAGCCCTAGCATGATTTTTCAGGATGCTCATAATATAAGCCCTACCCCCCCCCAATAAGCCCCAATTAAGATTTTCAGCCAGATAGATGCATTTAGTATTATATTTCCCCCAAAATAAAACCTAACCGGAAAAGAACCTCTAATGCATCTTTTGAAGTAAAAATTAATATAAGACCTGGTCTTAGTTTCAGGGAAACATGGTATTACTTTTGGTACTATCTTTTGGCCATAGTCATTCTACTTCTACTTGCAGATTTATTTATTTATTTATTTATTGGTTCGATTTATATGCCGCCCTTCTCTGGAGACTCAGGGCGGCTTACAATGCGTTAAGCAATACTTACTTTTGTATATACCTGCTTAGTAGGGCTTTTGGGCCCCCCTAAGTGGTGTTCTTTTTATACAAAGTCAGTTTATTGCCCCCACAATCTGGGTCCTCATTTTACCTACCTCGAAAGGATGGAAGGCTGAGTCAACCTTGAGCCTGGTGAGATTTGAACTTGCAGTAATTGTAGGCTGCTGGCAACTAAGTACTACTTAACAGCACTTTAGTCTGCTGCGCCACCAAGGTTCCTTTATCTTTATATTATGTGGTTTTTCTCCTGTTCTTTCTCTTCTAGACTTTTTATTTTTTATTATGGTCATCACACAGTCAGCCAAGTGTTTAAACTGGATTTGGTATTTTCATCGAGGCCTATCGAGACCTTCCCAAGGACCTGGGAATGGCAGATGTGTTTGTTGACGGAGCTAAAGTATCATTGCAGGATGTACACAGTTCTAATTATTTGTATTATTATTATTTCTCTTATTGTTGAAAGCAATCTGGAAAGAAATAAAATCAGAGGTCTCGGTTTAATGTATTATCAAGCCAGGCAGAATAACATAAAATTAGGCAGCCATAATCAGAAGGCTTCTGGGGTGTACGCCAGAGAGGAATAGGGGAGGAAAATGTCTTAAGAACAGTGGCTGCAAATTTATCCTATCCTTTTAAGGCCTTCAGGGGCTTTTGCATTAATTAGATAAGCCAATTCTTTTCTCACAGTCCGGGACATTTGACAGCTGATCATAGGTCGGGTGTGAAAAGGTGTTTGCCACATTTCTCTAAAGGCAATTCTTTTGCAAGCTTGTACTTTGTTGAGCTTTTCCCATTACATCTGCAGCAGCTAAAAGTGTGCAGTAGAACAGGCCAGACAATGAAGGAAAGGGGTTGAGACATTCAGGAAGGAAATGTGTCCTTGATATGAAGAATGCTGGTGTTCTCCACAAAATATTCCACAAATCCAGCCAATATGAGTTCCTGAGGATCAAGGCCACCCTCAATACTTTCCGCTTCAGACAAAACATCGCTAACCAAAGAATCTGATCACCAGCCATGTTTACGCTTAAATTTGTAGCTGCTCGCCCAAATCCAGTGGGTGTCCTGGCCATTTTGCTCACCACAGTTGAACGCTGAGATTTAAGCACAGATAGTCGTTTGTCCTACCTGTGAATCCAAGACACAAGTTTGTGAACTAAACAACAACAACAACAACAATAAACGGAGCATCTCGTCATGTCTGTGCAAAAGTGTGACCTCTCTCTCACCCTTTTTCCTGCTCACTAATCTTCTAGGAATCACAGCCTTCATAGGCCAAAGCTGCAACCTTCGGCATAGGCAAATCCTTGGTTAGACTCCGTTTCCTTTCCATCCTATAAAAAAGCAGCTGCTGCAAAGGCAAATTAATTGTTCATCCCCCGTTGATGAATTGTCCAGTTTTAACTGATTAACCAGTTAATTAATTCAGTTGATTAACTGTCCTTTTATGAACTGATGAATCAGTTACCCGATTGATTAAACAGGAGATGTATAGGGCTTCTGTCTTTCCCTTAATGGCGCTTCACTGCCTGCTCAAGATTTTGACTTCGTTTTCTGTTTAATCTATCCCTCCATGCCTGCTCTGTTATTAGCTTTGCGCCTGCCTTCTTTTAGTATTTGGCTGAATATGGCTTATTTTCCCATCTTAATCATCAGGGTACCCATCAACATATTTTCGCTTGATCGAGCAAAGTTATCTATTGCTCGGTGTTAATAGAAACATGGGAAAGAGTTAAGCACGGGAAAATGGTATTTTATTTTCTCACCTGACATTTTGTTTTCCATTTAGCTAAAGAATAACACTACTGTGAATCAACACTTCTGGCTTCTGTGTTTTTAGAAGCTTATATCCCAGCAAGCTTTTTTAATGTTGTCTTCACTTTATTCCTCATCTATCAGCCATTTCAGAAATAACACACGGTGATGAAAGGAAATAGAACATGGTAACCTATGACAAAGTGAATTTTAAACCTACCAAAATGGCAATTGAGAGTCTACAGGTTTCTGACATGTATAATCTGCCTTTTAAACATGACTTCTGAGTCAGATTATAAAATTATACAAAAACAATAATACATTGAAACACCAGATAGATACACTAACCTTTTTAATATTGTTACCCATCCACCCCCCAGTGATATTTGTTCAGGTGGTCATCAATATAAATTGACTAAATACATGTAATGTCTTGCTTTCAAACAAGAACTTACTAATTTTTTACCAGCCAGCACTTCCGTAATGTAAGATCTAAAGTATTCAAATCAGTACAGAATAGATTGTCTTCTGTAGGCGAATCATGGACTCTGTTGTTGGGAGAACATAAACAGCATTTTCTGGATTTATTAAAAGAAAAGAAAAATAAATAAAACCAGGCTAATTTTAAGAGATAGCTCCTAGATAGAGAAGAAGCAAGGTGGTGGCCTCGGAATCAGGAGATGGTAAGTTCTAGTCCTGCCTTAGGCAGGAAAGCCAGTTGGATGACTTTGAGCCAATCATGAGGAGACACTGAGTTCTAGTCCCGCCTTAGGCATGAAAGCCAGTTGGATGACTTTGAGCCAATCATGAGGAGACATTGAGTTCTAGTCCCGCCTTAGGCATGAAAGCCAGCTGGATGACTTTGAGCCAATCATGAGGAGGCACTGAGTTCCAGTTCCACCCTAGTCAAGAAAGCTGGCAAGGTTACTTTGGGCCAGTCCCTCTCTCTCAGCCCTCCCACCTCACAGGATTGTTGTAGGGAAAATAGGAAGAAGAAGAAAGAAGATTAGGTATGTTTGCTGCTTTGAGTTATTTATTAAGTAATAAAGATGGGATAAAAATCTAATAGCTAAATAAATAGGTCAGGTAGAATCTGGGGTTGTGTTAGATTTCTCATGAGTACATGAGTACATGGACTGTAGCATTTAGGACAGGGGTGTTAAACTTGATTTCATTTGACCCTGGCTGGAGTGGGAGTGGCCAGGGTGGGTGTGGCTAGCTGAACGTCACTTGTGTCGGGGGCACATGTGGTGGCCCAAGCGCTCTGCCAGCAAAAACGGGTTCCCGAGCTTCTTTTTGGCTTGACAGGTTCCTGCAACCCTCTGCCAGTGAAAACAGAGCCCTCCTGAACTCCATTTTCACTGGCAGAGGCACCGTGGGCCGGTCCTTTGCTGTTTCCATGGCGGCCCCATGGACCAGATCTAAGCACCCACAGGCCGGATTCAGCCCCTGGGTCTTGAGTTTGACACCCGTGATTTAGGACATGGCTCAACTTCTCTGCCATAATGAGGACAGGCAAAACATCAACAGGACCCTTTCCTTCACTCTCAAGCATAATCCTCTTGTCCAGTCTGCTATCTGATAAATACTTTATTCTAACTCAACATGTATTTGTTCATGTTCCTCAGGCTGTAGAAATATGTATAATATCTCTTAGGATACATTCAGATAGAGATGCTGGAGCAGCAGCTGCAGACTTTGATGATCCTACAGTATTGCCTGTGATCAGCCACTGAGCCAGTTTATTCCTGTCTCAAAGGTTGATATCCAAATTTTTGAATAGTAGGACCAGTATTTCTTCTAAAACGCTGCATAGAATTTGTGAGGTGGTTCGTTCCTCCATTTCTGGGAAGTTGAGCCTTGTTTTTTCTTTCTGATCTTCAGTGGCTCTAGAAATTCCTTCAAGAGGAATGGTGGACTGGCAGCTTTGCAGTTTCTTCCATAAGAACTGCTTGGATTTATTTTTTTTATCCACACAACAGATAAATGCACACAAAAGGAAATAAAATAAATTGCCTGTAGCACCATAACCTCCATCCAAAAATCCTAGAATCTTCTTTCCCATGGGAAGAAGTGCAAAGAATTCGCTTTTTTTTCCCTTTGCAAACTATTTTGAGAACCATATATATAATAACATAAAAACTTGACTACGGATAATCCTCAACTCACAGCCATTCATTTATTGCATGTTTGAAGTTGCAATGACACTGAAAAAAGTGACTTACAGCCAGACCTCATACTTACAACAGTCACAGCATTCCAAAGTCATGAGACCAAATCTGGGTGTTTGACAATCGGCATGTATTTACAATGGTTGCATCATCCAGAGTGTCATGTGATCAATCACCATTTATGACTTTCCTAGCCAGTTCCTGACAAGCAAAATCAATGGGGGGAAACTGGATTTGCTTAACAACTGCACAATTTACTTAACACTGCAGTGATTTATTTTATTTTGTTTTGTTTTATTTATTTATATTTTTTTATTAATTTACTTCACTTCACTTCTATTTTTTATTTTATTGATTGGGGTTTTTTTTAACCACCCATCTCCCTCACAGAGGTGATTTACTTAATAACTGTGGCAAAAAAAAATTCTGGTAAATTGTGGTAAAATCAGGTAATACCCACCTGTTTAGCAATGAAATTCTGCTCTGACTTATGATCATAAGTGGAAGGTTATCTATATAAAAGGGGCAAACAGACAGCCTAAACTTTGCAGGAAGGAAAACATCCAAGAATGCTATCTACTTTCCTGAGATGGATGTTTGATATTTCAGTTGAAAATCCAGATAGTCCATTAAAAACTGCAAACTCTATTTTACTCTGCCTTCCCCATTAATCTAAGACTTTATTTAAGAGAAGCAACCTGAGAAGCCTGTAGCAACAAACTTTGCAGAGCTGCAGCGAAAAAGGTAGTGCCTTGAAGCTTTGAATTCCAATCACCAACATCTTTGATCAAAAGTAAACTCAGTGTGAAAAGAAACCAGCTCTAGGAATTCCCTTCAAGAGACACTTCTCAGATTTTGGTTAGAAAGCCCAGAATGATAACCATGTTTTAGGACAGGCCAAAAGGGTGAAACTGCAGAAAAAACTGGAGTGGGGGAAAGGATGCCTGGGAACCTATTATTTTCACCCTGGGGAAATGTGAAACAAGTAGAAGAGTCAACATAAGGTTAGAATTAAAGAGACAGAGAATATTCCAGGAATCGCCTACATCCAAGCTCACCTTTCTGCATATTCAGAGAATATGAAGGTTTAAAAAAACAACAGCAAGGAACAGAGCTAGCTTCTTGCAAAAAGTAAGCATGACTCCTTTTTAGAAACACCATAAATTTACAATAAGTGAGTGGAAACAAGAAGCTGGTTTGGTAAACATTCAAGCTCCCCATTCACGACTTGGTAGACATTCACAATTTGACAATCCAGTAGTTATCCCTGGTCACTCATTGTGAGAAAGGACATGAGAGCAATGAGAGGTGACATGATAGCAGTCTTCTCATATCTAAAGGGTTGCCAAAAAGAAGAGGGAGGGGGGTCAACCTATTCTTCAAAGCACCTGAAGGTAAGAAAAGAAGCAATGGATGGAAACTAATCAAGGAGAGAACCTAGAATTAAGGAGAAATTTCCTGACAGAATAATTAATCAATGGAACAACTTGCCTCGAGAAGTTGTAAGTGCTCCAAAACTGGACAACCATTTGTCTGAAATGGTATAGGGTTTCCTACCTGAGCAGGGGGTTGGACTAGAAGACCTCCAAGGTCCCTTCCAATTCTGTTATTCCATTATTTTAGGAAGGCCCTCTCTAATATTTTCAGCATAACCCATGCACATTTATACAGAAGCCTGAGGATATTTCCTCCCTGCCAGATATCCACAAAGATACAACCTTCATCCACAACATCAGACCCCTAAACATTTATCTTCTCTGCAGGGGGAGGGGGGAATCCCAATAAAAATGTGGCTGATCAATCTTTTAAAACTATTAAATGCCTCAGCAGCTCTCATAGCCACGTTTTCCTATTGATAGGTGTCCCTTGCTCTCCCCCCAACACAAGCCTTAATGAAATTATGTTCTTACCTCATATATACAAAGGACTTCGTTGCATCCAACGTGCCACAGAAGGTCAGTTTCTTTCATTGTTGGGAGAAACTTTGATGTTTCCCATTGTGTCCCTCATTTCATGGCGTTTTGTCCCCAATTGTCCCCCATTCAGAAGATTTGCCCTTCGTTTTGAAAGTTCAGTGGTTGAGAGGTGTGGTGGAAATAAAAAAAAAAAGGGAATTTTTTTTTTTCTTGTGGGAGTTAGGCAGAAACTCTTCGGCTATCCTGCCGTAGATTTGCTCCAATCTACGGCAGGATAGCCGAAGAGTTTCTGCCTAACTCCTGCAAGCTGTTGCTTTTTTGTGACAGTGAAGTCAAATGAATGCTGCGGGTGGATGAGGGGGGAATTCCCAGGGGTCTCCCAGCTTCACTTGGTGTCCAGATAAGTGACAAGGTGAGCAATGTGCAGCCTGCAGACTACATTTAGCCTCCCAACATAATTGGGATTTAATTTGGAGCTAATTAAGCTCCAAAACTTTGCTGGAATACAGTGACAAAATACTGGCATTCTACCACATTAGTGGGGCTTATCGTAAATAGGAAAACATGAGTGTTGGATTTGGCTGTCTGACTGGATCTCTTTTATTTGAGAAAACAAAAAGCTCATTAAAAGAGCTAGAATGTTAGGCCCACATCTACATGACTGCTACACTACACATGGATTTTTTTACATGTGATCCATACCAGTTAAAGGGTGTAGCTCACAGTTGGTGCTCCTGAGTTTGGTTGTTTTCATGTAGATGTTTCATTATCTAACTAGGTAACATCCTCAGTGCTTGAAGGAGGTGAGGCAAAACCAAACTCTTTTAGCACTGATGGTGTTAACCTAATTGGATAATAAAGTATCTCCAAAAAGGCAACCAAGCTTTGAAAGCACCAAGGACCCAACAAAAGGGTGGCCATCCCTCAACTAGATCGGAAATTTTTAGAAGTGGGATATTTCCTGCAAATTCCTTCTCAGAAACTTGTCTAAATGTGAGTGTCTTAAAGCTGAATGATATAGGTAGTCCTCGTGTTATGAGAACGGAATGGAGTGGAGTGGGGTGGGGTGGGGTGGGGTGGGGTGGAAGAGAAGGGAAGGGAAGGGAAGGGGAAGGGGAACGGAATGGAACGGAACGGAACAGAATTCCTTATTGGCCAAGTGTGATTGGACACACAAGGAATTTTTTTTTTTAATTTGATTTATATGCCGCCCTTCTCCGGAGACTCAGGGAGGCTTACAATGTGTTAAGCAATAGCCTTCATACTTTTGTATATTTTATACAAAGTCAGCTTATTGCCCCCACAAACTGGGTCCTCATTTCACCTACCTTAGAAAGGATGGAAGGCTGAGTCAACCTTGAGCCTTGGAGAGATTCGAATCAGCAGAAATTGCATGCAGCTGTGTTAATAACAGGGTGCGTAGACCACTGTACTATCAAGGCTCTTGTCTTGTCTCCAGTGCATAAGCTCTCAGTGTACATACAAATTACAAAACAATAAGTCAGAGACCATGAGTAAAGACCAGAATTTTGCTTGCCAAGCAAGGCAGTTGTTAAGTGTGTCATGCCAATTTTATGACTTTTTTTT